GTGTCTATCTCCGTGCCTACCTCCGTGTCTGTCATCATGCCTACTTCAGTCTTTATTCCCCCACATGCTGCACTAACCCTTTGTGACCTCCTTCTTTGTGAGGCCACTGACACAGTTACACTTGGTTGTGGATAGCATCGACTTTGTCGACGTCACTAACCATATCATTTCTCGGGCCCCCTTGTCTACAGGGATGCCACCTGTATCTGGATTGTGAACATCCTCTACATCTAGATGCAGTATGTTCCATCTGTGTTTGCGGGTGGTATAACGAATGTGCACTTAACTGTGATGGTGAACGCCCCACAATCGTCATGGCCTGCAACCGGCATGCCCTCTGTCGTGCATGCTTCAGAGGTATGGTTGATGCTAGCCGTCCTCGCTCCTGTTGTGATGAGGTTGCTTGCTTGAATCGTCTTCATCCTATAGATCGACGGGAGGGCTGCTACCATCGCCCGCATCGTTATAATAGTTGTCCTATCTGTCATGAGGGTCTTACTCATATGTACCTTGCACCTTAGCAAAAAAATGCGGGTGTGCTGAAAAAAGTGTACAAAAGTGGGAGACCCATCACTAAAACTGCAAGACAGGAATGCAATAAACGAAAGAAGAAGTTTGTGTGATTTTACTTTGTTTGTACCCTGCACCCTAACACCCTCAAGTCAGAAGGGTGAAAATGAGAATAAAAAGTAAAGAAGGAAGTGCAGGTGCGCTAAAAAGTGAACGTGGTAAACCCTTCACCAAAACTGCAAAACTGTGAAAGAAAGAAGAATACAGTAAAAGAAAGAAGAAGTTGTGTCACCTTCGCTTTGCCTATCGGTTTTCCTTTTCTACTCCTCTTCGTTGTGTTTAACACCTCTCCCTTTACTCTGTCTCTTTCCCACAGCGTGCAAGTGGGCTGTTATGGCATACGGGGATGGGGGTATCTCGCGCTAAACTTCATCAACGTGGCGAGCCTTTTGCGTGAGAGGCGCAGTGGAGGACTTGAAAAGACTGAGAAATTGAATGATTTCAATGTGTCTTTGTTTTTTACTTTTATCCTTTGTTTTGTGTAAAAAAAATATAAAACACTGAAAGAAATAAAAATGCACTAAAACAAAGAAGAAGAAGACATTGTTTTGTGTCTTTCTGGTTTGTCTATCTCTTTGCCTGTCTGTGCTTTTATTTTTACTTTTCTTCACTCATCTTATTTCTTCTTCTACTTCATGTGTTTGCGCTCTTAGTCAATAGTTCTGTCCTCCTGATGAGTGGGTGAAACTCCGACGAAACAGTTTGTCACAGCCCCTCGTTTGTTGTCCTCTTCTCCCTCTCTGCCTACGGTTTACCGGGCAGTTCTATTTGACGATATATATAGTCTTATTCGGCGGTTTCAACATGCCAGACAGAGATATACTGCCCATTCCCGTGACACCTTCGAAACTTTATCAGGATTGTGCACATGCACGAGATCCTGAAGGCCACTAAGTTGAGCCATGTGTCACATTCTCCGGACGTGTGTGCATTACACCCTGACCCTTAGGCAGCCAACACTATTCGCATCTGTGACAAACTTGTACTCCCAACAAGGGTGCAATTCTGTAATTTTACGGAAGTTGCCTTAAGTGTCACTCCGGGCCTGCGGCTACCTGCTGCAGCTGATTGTCCTTGCCGTGGACCATTTCCTAACTGCACCGATCTGGTTGACGACCATGTTGTTTCCGCCAACTATGATCTGATTCTAGATACTAACCTTCGTCACCTGTTCTATGAGGGCTCTAAATATCGACTTAATGGGATAATGGGGGATATATTTCAAGCATTGGTTGTTGGTATTGATGAGTATATTGCTGTGTATCTTCGTCTGACAGCATGAAAATCCTGCGCTGCTACCCTAGCTTCACAATTGGCTCTTTGGAGTGCCGCAGTTTTGCGTTTTGCGACACGCACATACGGCCTTGCGTCAGCTCCAAGAATCCTTTGCAATTTCGTGTGGACAAAACATCACATAATTTGGATATTTGTTGTAAAAACTGATAATGTTTTAAGCTTTCTGCCCATCTGGACAGTCCTACGTATTCTCGGCCCGTTGAAACAGCGACTGACATTCTGAATAGCCATGCACTTTGGAACAATCGTTGGAATTATCCTCATGCTGACATATTGTCGTATCTTTATTATGCTCTTAATGCCCATAAGTCTCCTCCCACACTTCGTACTATTCTTGGTATCACTGCCCGCAATAATCTTTTTTCTTATCATACGGCCCAGCGAAGTGACTTGCATCCCTCCCAACGAGTCCAGCATTTGCATCCCTATATACAACTCCACAAATACAAAGCATGACGGTGCCAGACTGTGGGCGTCGCTCCACCACTCACCACATGCAACACAAACAAAATTTATGGGGGTTATCTTTCATGCTGTAGTGGAAGATTCATTCTCTCATTTTGCACATTTGGTGAGCGGTGGAGTGAGGCCCTGTCTCGTCGGAACTCCTTTTTTCCCCACGACAAACAGCCAAGCTGCAGTCTATTGTGGGGGGAAGGGGGGAGGAGCGTCTAACTGCTGGACACTGTTTTCAACAGCTGACACTTTTACAAGCACTCCCCCCCCCCCCCCCCCCCCTACACACACACACACAAACACAAGTAGGCTGCAGCTTGGCTGTTCGTGTTGGGAGAAAAAGAAAATGCATATCGTCAAGGAGACCACTCTCGTGCAAGTTTGACCAGCGAAACTTGCACAAATCTTGCACGACCATGCAAGTTTGACCAGCGAAACTTGCACAAATCTTGCACGACCATGCAAGTTTAACCAGGGAAACTTGCACGAAACCTGTACGAAACCTGCACGAACCCTGCAAGTTTGACCAAGGAAACTGTTACGGTCAACTTCGTCAAGGAGACCAGTCTGTAAGTTTGACCAGCGAAACTTGCACAAATCTTGCTCGACCATGCAAGTTTAACCAGGGAAACTTGCACGAAACTTGCACGAAACTTGCATGAAACTTGCATGAAACTTGCACAAACCCTGCAAGTTTCACCAAGGAAACTGTCATGGTCAACTTCATCGAGGAGACCAGTGTCGTGCAAGTTTGACCAGCTAAACTTCGCACAAATCTTTTACAATCATCCAAGTTTGACCTCGGGCAAGTTTAACCACGGAGAAACTTGCACGAAACTTGCCTCGGGATTTTTTTTTTTCTTTTCGATATGCCATGATCCAACTTATCTTTAAAAAAATTTCCTTTCCCCCCCCTCGTTTCAGGTAATTCAGAGTTACTTGGACTGCATCTGGACTCGAACTTGGGTCTGTATTTCAGCAGTTTATTGGGTGTACCAACTGAGCTATAGGCCCGTTGGTAACTCAACTTTTTGGATAAGCCTGTATTTCAGCAGTTTATTGGGTGTACCAACTGAGCTATAGGCCCGTTGGTAACTCAACTTTTTGGATAAGCCCTTTTCTAAACTTATCTTTTTTAAAGTTTTTTTTTTTCATTTTATTTTTCAAAAGGACGACGGGCTTCAGATATCATCATCGAACTGACCGGCCCCAGGTAATCCAGAATGATTTTGTTCTGGTCATCTGATTGCATCTGGATTCGAACTTGGGTCTGCATTCCAACAGTTCGTGGGTGTATGAACTGAGCCAGGCCCGCCTGTTTTTTTTTTTTTTTTTTTTGAGCTAGGCCCGCTTGTGGTTTCTAACTTATCTATCTATCTATTATTATTATTATTATTATTATTTTAGCTGCGAGCCGGCAAAAATTGAGGTAAACTGCTGTGTGTGACCAGCCCACGGTATTCTTTAGTAAAAGGCGAAAGAATAGTGCTCCATATGAGCTGAACACGCAGTCAATTTTTTTCCAACTTATCTTAATTTTTTGGGATAAGCTTTTATCTAACTTGTCTTTCCTTTTTATCAGGTTCGCTTAAACCACGAGTACTTGGCCCAGCTATCGGCCGTGGAAAAAAATAGAGTAGAAAGATTTCTAGTCGGACGAATTTGGGCGCTCCTGTAGTGGTCTGTACGTTTTCTTAAATCGTGGCATGTTAACGGGCACGACTTCAGGAAGTACTGGTGGTGGTTTAAACAACCCCGAAATCTTTTACCCATTTAAAGTTTGAGAAAACAGATCGAGGGTGTTTCACTCCGGAGGCCTCAACGTATCTGTTTTTGTGGGAAACAAAGCCGTTATCTTCTGTCTTCCCAGGAGGGCTCCGTCAAACTCGATACCGGTTTGTTTCTCTTGACAATCTGATGACCTGATACAAGTTTGTGTGGTAGGGAATTGGGGAGGGTGGAGGTGAGGGTATCGAATCCTTCTGCAGACGCTAAGTCACCCGCGTGAGAAGGAAGGGAAAATGGACTTGGTCGTATGTGTCACATCATGTGCATAACTGACTAACTACTTGCAACGGTCAGCGTGGGTGAAAAATGTCGAGGGAAGGTATTCTCCTACTCCTGTACTTGACCACATCCCTCCCTCTCTTCTTCTCCTTGCTCCGTCTCCCCTTCCCTCCTCTCCTCCTCCTCCCCCTCCATTTCTTCTGCTTCTTCACTTGATTCCCTTGTTCTCCTGCAGACGTTTGCTTGTGCCTCTTGCTCTGTCCCTACTTCTTCTTCCTCCCCTTATTCCTTTGTTCTCATCTAGTGGCTGCAGCTGCTTTCCCTCTCAGATTCTGGTGTTGATTTCCTCCTACCGCTGCTCTTTGCCTCCTCCCTCCCTGTATTCTTTCATTCTCCTCCAGTGGCTGCTGCCTCTTCCCTCTTAGCTGCTGCTGCTGCTGATGCGCTGCTCCTGCGGCCTCTTTCCTCCCTTCCCTGCTCTCCCTGCTCTCCTTATTCCTTTTGTTCTCTCTCTTGCAGCTGCTGCTGCTGCAACTTTGGGGTTTTGGCTGATCGGCTGGAAGTGAAAGATATTGGACCGAATTCGAAGAACCTGAATGACCAATGGCATCAGGAAGAAGAAAGGCACCCGACCCGTGGTGTGTTTTCCGGGGTCACAAAACCGATGCCAGGGCTGTTGAGTTCTATCCTGGTGGCAATCTTCTGTTCTCTGGCGATGCTGACGGAGAGCTGAAGGTGTGGGACCTCACGCAAAGAAGGCTGGTCTTCTCTAAGCGAGTTTACAGTCGCGCTGCAGGCGTCGTTGCCATTAAGTCGTTGGGTTCAAACTCGGGTCAGCAGATGGTTCTGACCCAGGGTCGGGATGGCATTGTGAAACAGTGGCATTTGACGGAATCAGGGTTATCGCGAGACCCGCTCGGTCTGATCGACATTGGATCCTATAGTTACTGCAAATTGTCAGTGGTCAGACACCGGGGTGGTAGATCTGTGTCGGCGAGCAGCAGAAGAAGAGGGGAAGATGGGAGTTCCCCAGCAGAGGGGGAAGGTGAGGGCGAGAGGGGGCAGAGGCCGGGGGAGTCGGAAACCACGGGTGAAGATTGCCGTGAGCAAGTTGATTTTGAAAAAGAGAATAACCAGCCACTCCCACCACAAGGGGAGGGAGGAAACAAGGGAGAGGAAGCTGGCGAAGGGAATGAATGGGAGGTCGAGCATTCGGTGGCAAAGCTTCGAGTGAACGATTCACATACCGAAGGAGCAAATGTGTCTGATGACTCTGATCTCTACAAACACCCAAAGCAGCAGCTCCGCTCGTTGCAACAGCAACAACAACAACATCATCATCATCAGCAGCAGCAGCAAGAACAACAGCAACAGCAACAGCAACAGCAACAAGAGGAGGGCCATACAGAGACGCCTTCCATCTTCACAGGTGTTGAGAGCAAGGAGAGAGGAGAGACGGCAGAGTCCCAGGATCCGATGCTTGGAACGGAAGAGGAAAATTTGGAGACAAGTGCAGACGCAAGCCACAGGGTTGCTAGGAGCAAGGAGATGCGAAGCGCCGTGGTCGGCGGATTGAGTCAGATCATCACCGATGATGTCGATCAACGAGTGAAAGGAAGTGAGGGCGTGGCGCCTTCTGCGGTGTTCGAGGAAGCGGAAGACAGCGGCGGCCTTCCTGCGGCACAGGATCAGTCCCTGATTGCCATTGCTGGATCCGACCCTTCGATTGTGGAGGTGTGGAGTCTTTCGTCAACGGAACGAGTGCTTCAGCTGTCCCAAGGGTCGAACACCTCCAAAGGCAACCCGTTTCCTGCGTGTGGTGGGAGAGCGGGCATGTGCATGGCGGTGGAAGCTGTCCGACAGCCACACACAGGTGTTCTAACTATTGCCGCAGGATTTGAGGACGGGGCGATCAGAGTGTGGGATGCACGTCAGGTCGCAGAGCCTCTTGTTTGTCAGAATCTGCACACTGAGCCCATTTTGAGCATCGCGTTAGACAGTTCGTATTCTGGCGGAGTCTCCGGAGCTGCCGACAACCGTACAATTTTCTTCCGTCTGGACTGCCTTACAGGGGTGTGCAATGTGGCCAAGATGGTGGAGACTACGAGGCCTGGGACGGCAGACGTGGCCATCAGACCAGATGGCCGGATCGCGGCAACAGGAGGCTGGGACCATAGAGTGAGGGTCTATGATTACAAGCACAGAAAACTGCTGGCGATCCTGAAATACCACACCTCAACAGTCTCTGCAGTGGCATTTTGTCCTTATCAAACGGGGCTTCTGGCGTCAGCCTCAGATGATGCGACTGTTGCGATCTGGGATATATATCCCACGCAGGGTTCTTGATTTCTATGCTGTTGATGCCGTACCTACAGTACAGTATGTCGAAACATCAACATTTTTTCTCCTTCTCCAGAGCCTTACCTCTCTCGTTCCCTGCCTTTGTCTTCGCTGTTTCCACTCGTCTGCTGTGTCCACGACCGAGTAACATCCTCGCTTGCATGGTCTTTGCCGTTTCCACTCGCCTGCTGTGTCCCCGAACGAGTAACATCCTCGCTTGCATTGTCCGTCTCCTCCGCCTTCCCCGCCGCCGCCTCCTCCTCCTCCTGCCTTCTCTTCCTATTTTTTTTTAGTGGTATAACAATCAGTGCTGCTGTTGCATTCTGCTAACTTTGCAGTCTTTTCCATTCGCTAGAGTTGAGAAAAAAGATGACGTCAGCTAAAAAAAGTTGCTAGGCCTAGCTCTGCTGAGTTCCTTGTCTCGTCGTCCTTGTTTTCATAGAGCTCAGACGAAAGATGACATGCGTGCAACACCGGCCAATGTGGCTAGATGGCACACATGTGTGACTGTCGATAAAAAGGTCATGAGTTCAAACCCTGACGGAATCAGATGATTACAGTAATGTTAGGGGCTCCCTCCTTTTTTGGAAGTCTTCCGTAGAAAAGAAAGATGACATGTGCAGAGAAATTGATAGGTTCTATAACATACTTGCAAGCGGACGCCGTCCGGGTGGTTCTGCACGTGCGGTGGACCGCCGGACTGGACCCGCGCGGCGCACGAATGTGCGCCCGACGACCAGTTACCTCCCACCCCCCCCCAAAAAAAACAAAAAACGACCCCGTCCGGTCCAGTCCGGTCTGGTCCGGGTCCGTCCGGTTCGGGGGGAGGGTGCCGCACGTGGCAAAGCGGACCGGACCGGACGCTCGTCCGGTCCGTCCGCTTGCAAGTATGTTCTATAATCTATTTGCTTGCGCCTTGGTGTTTGTTCTTTTCATAGAGCATAACATGGTTGCATCCCTGCCGACCGCCGACCCCGACCGCCGACCGTATTGCAGCCGACCAGTAGGGCCGACCGGTCGGCGGTCTGCCGACCACTCAGAAAACAACC